CTTATGTGCTAATTTTATACCCTTCATCCTCCAGGCTACATTTGCTTATTGGTTCTAGATGGTGTTCTGAGATTTTGATTTTAGTTTTTGTCATTGGTTGAGGATTCTCTATATAGGTGCACGTGCAATTTTTTAATAAAGGCAGTTTTCTTTTGTTCTCATCTATCTTTCACTTTTTTTATTTTGTTGCATTGTGACGTTCAATATTAGGAAGAGAGCATCTAGTTACTCACCATATGGAAGTTTTAGCTGATGTTCTTTGCAAAAGTGGATGTTCTTTTCCAACTTGAGGAAGTTTTCCTCTGTTCCTGGTTAAATGAGGGCTGGGGATTTAGCTCAGTGGTGCCACTGCCTGCCTCAAAAGCGTAAGGACCTGAGTTCGAAAAAAACAGTACCAAAAATTAAAATCTTTCAAAGAATTTGTTCGTATTGTCTAAGCTATAGTAATGTTTCATTATCACCCTTTTAATGACTATGGGATCAGCAGTAATAACCTCTTCATTTTTTATGGTGCTCTTGTTTTTTTTAAGCACAATGAACTTTTTTTTTTTTTTTTTTTTTTATGGTACTGGCAGGTGGTGGCACCACTGAGCTAAATCCCTGGTCACCAAAGAATAATTATGGTTTTTTATGACTATTATTTTTGTTTTTTATTTCATTGATTTCTGCTCTAATTTTTAAATTTCTTCCATTTCCTTTGGGCTGAAATTTCTTCTTTTCTACTGTCCAAAAATGGAATATTCCCTGATTTCAGATCTTCTTTTCTGATATATTTAACCTATCAATGTCCATCTAAGTATGACTTTTCCTTCACCCCACAAATTTCGATGCTATATTTTCATTTTCATTTCACTCAAAAATTTTTCAACTTCTTTTGAAATTTCTTCTTTGACCCACGTGTATTTAGAAACATGCTGCTTAATTTCCTAATAATTTCAGCTGCCTTTTGTTCACTGATTTTTAGTTTTGCTCTACTGTGTTCTAAAAGCATGCTTTGTATAATTTCTTCTCTTTTACCCTTGTCAAAAGGTGTTTCATGGCCCAGAACATGATCTGTCCCAGTGATCGTTGCATATGAATCTGAGAGGACTGTTGATCGTTCTGTTTTAGGACAGAGTATGACGTGATGTTGGATCAAGTTGATGGACAGTCTTGTTCAGGCTAATTATAACCTCACTGATTTTCTGCCTTCTTGATCTACAGGAAAAGGATGTAAAAAAGGGGGGTGGGATTTAAGCTCAGTGGTTCTGCTGCCTGCCTCGCAAGCACAAGGACCCGAGTTCAATCCCTGGTACCAAAAAAAATTTTTTTGTCTCTTCTTCCTTTCTTTCTTTCTTTCTTTCTCTTTTTTTTTTTTTTTTCTGGTACCAGGGATCAAACTCAGGAACTCAGGTCCTTGCTCTTGCAAGGCTGGCGGCGGAACCCCTGAGCTAAATCCCCAGCCCTCATCTTCCTTTCAGTTCTATCATTCCGTGTGTGTGTGCGTGTGTGTGTGTGTGTGTGTGTGTGTGTGTGTGTGTGTGTTACTGAAAATTGAACCTAGGGTTAAAAGAATGCTAGGCAAGCCCTCTGCCACTGAGCCAAATCCCCAGCCCTTTTTATTTTATTTTCAAACAGGGTCTCACTTAAGTTTCCCAGGCTGGCCTCAAACATGATCCCCTTACTTGGACCTCCTAGTTAGCTGCTGTTATGTGTGTGCACCACCATACAGCTTGCCTAATATATTTTGACACTGTTAATGCACATGCATTCAGGATTTATATGTCTTTTTAGGAACTGACCTTTTTGGGGCCAGTGACTTGGCACAGTGGTGCTACGGTCTGTCTCACAAGCACAAGGACCCAAGTTCGATCCCCGGTACTAAAAAAATAAGAGAATTTACCTTTTTCTTATATAAATGCCTCTTTTTTTTTTGCCCTTTTTAGTGACCCCCAATGCTGAGGATTGAACCCAAGATGCTCCACCACTGAGCTACATCCTTATCCCTTTATAATTTTTTGAGGCAGGGTCTTGTTAATTTGCCCAGGCAGGGCTTGCAGTTGGATCTTCCTGCCTCGGTTCTGGGATTGCAGGCATGTGCCACCACACCCATTGATTGTTATTTTTAACAAAATTATCTTTAATATCAAAAATAAAAAATAAAAGACTTTATTTGACTTTCATCCATTCTTTTCTCAATGTTCTTTCTTTATGAGGGCCCAAGTTTCTTACTTGTATCATTTGATCATCACTGATAAACTTTTTTTCAACACTTGTTGTGAGGCATGTCCGCTGGCAAGGAATTCCCTCAACTTTTGTTTGCCTCAATAAACTGTAGAATTGCAATTTTAATAATATCACTGCCAAAATGATTCCAAAAGGTAGTTTAAGTTTTTATATACTCTTTTCTTCTTCCCTCATGTAAAATAGTTTTTAAAGCCAGACATGGTGGCACATGCCTATAATCCCAGCACTTGGGAGGCTGAGGCAGGAGGATTGCTGCAAGTTCGAGACCAGCCTGGGCTACACAGTGAGTTCCAGAGCATTCTGAACTAGAGAGACCCTGTCTCAAAAAACCACGCACACAAAAAAATAGTTTTTAAAATGTGTGCATTATTACCCCAACATCACAAGCAAAATACTACATATGATATTCTCCCTTTGACCATTATTTAGTTGTTGTGTTTTTTTTACCATCATTTAATTTTAATTCTGCAAGTAGCTACACTATACTTACTGTATCAGACACCCCAGTTCTGGGTTGATGTCCTTTGGGGCTCATTTGTTTTTTGCTTTTTGTGTGTTTTTTTGTTTGGTTTGGTTTGGTTTGTTTTTTTTGAGACAGGGTCTCACTATGTAGTTGAGACTGACCTAGAACTCACTATGTAGCCCGGGCTGGTCTCGAACTCACAGTGATTCTCCTGCCTCAGCCTCGTGAGTGCTGGGATTACAGGCAAGCGCCACCACACCCACCTCTGGAGCTCATTCGTTATCAGATTCCTCAGGAGGAGCTCAGGGAAACATTTCCTGAATTCTTTCATTATTAGAATCAAGCTGCCCACACCCTTTACACTTGAAGGGAAGCTCTGCTGCTTATACATCTTTGGTTCTCTGATTTCTTTCTTTGAGTATCTTAAATATATTGTTTCAATCTCTTCTGGCATAAAGCACTGTGAATCAAACTCAATGGCTAGATGCAGTGTTGACCTTACAGGGACATTTGATCCGGTTTGGTTTGTGACCAGAATTGTGGAAGGAATTGAGTTTGTGAACTAAGTTTACCACTGTAGAAAGATGAAAAAGGCTGAGGATATGTTCAGTGGTAGAGCACTTGCCCAGCATGTGGAAGGCCCTGCATTCTAGCTCTGGCACTGCAAAAATAAATATACATGCATAATAGAAATTTACCCATCCATTGCATTCAGAGTTTTGGTGGAGTAAGAGGAGGGTGGTGGAGTGGCATAAGGAGGATGGAGCACAGGGCCTTCACACACCTTCGTGGACTGGATTGTCATGGGAGGGGGCACCAGCTCTCCAGAATAGCATAGCAAGGCTGGTTGGCTTTCTTTCTTCCTTCCTTCCTTTCCTTTTTTTGTGCTGGGGATTGAAGTCAGGGCTTTCACACTGAGTTATACCCACTTTCAAACTGAGTTACACCCCCTGGTCCTTTTTATTTTTTACTTTGAGACAGGCAGGCTCTTTAAACTGTCTAGGGTGGGCTGGAACTTGGGATGTTCCTGCCTCAGCTTCCCAGAGTGCTGGGTTTATAAACGTGCCACCACGCCCAACTGCAAGGGTTCTTGAAACTGAAGAACAATGTTAAAACGAAATCACTGAGTCTATATTATAAAAAATTTTTAAAAAGCATAACATATCTGGAAACCAAAAACACCCCCTGTTGGCCTCTGTGGACCTGGACTTGAAAGTGTGTGGACCCTAAACATCTGCGTTGCCCCCTCTTGGGGAGAAAGATCTTTTTCCTTCTAGTGCCCTTTGTTTTAGCATAGGAAGAGCAAGTGTTGTGCCCAGATCACAATATCCCCAAAGACCACCAAGGAGTCGAGTCCAATGTAATCACACGAGGGGTTTATTGCAAGCTCGAGCCTGGACTTCCGGACCTCACCAACATTGGGTTTCGTACAGAGAGCCCCGAACTCGGTTTCATACAGGCTTTTTATCAGCAAAGGAGCAGAACTAGGGGCTTTCTAGATGGGTCAGTGTCTGATTGGTTAATAATGCAGGCAGGGGACAAAGGTCTGCTGACTTGAGTTGGTGGTCAGCAGTCACACATTGATAATTAACAGATACCTATAGGATGGTTCAAAGGCCATCAGGACCTTCTGGATGAGCAAACAGTTCAATAATTAACTTGGGGTCTCTATGTATTTCATAGTCTAGAACCATTAACTTACACGTTAATCAGGGTCTGGACTTCCAACAGTACAAGATTGCCTTACATTCCTAAGCCAGGGTTAGAACAAAGGTTGGAGCTATGGCTACAATGGGAGGGGGTTAGAGCACTGTCTCCTGGGCCCTTTGTCATTTAGCATGGCCTTGTAATTTGGTCAAAACGGCACTTTGGGGTTTTTCCAGTAACTGGGCGGTGACCTGATCACAGAATGGAGTAACTTTTTCAAAATGGAGTCAGTTTGGGCTCTACACAAGAGTCACGCTTCAAGATGCTCCTCTGTCAAATCTGTTACAGGAGCGTCACTGCTCTCGGGGGCCTCCTTACTCAGGTAGTGTGACAGTGTGGGAAGGCAGTAAAAAGCAGGAGTGTGTCTGGCTTCCACCACTTACTGCTGTGTGTGCTTGGGTGTGTTTCTTAGCCTCTCTGAGCCTCAGTTTGCTTGGCTGAAACACAAGAACAATGGTACCCAGTTCACAGGGCTGTTTTTGGAGGCAGAAAGGAGTGAAGCCTGTAGAACTTCAGGTACATAGTGCAAACACCCTGCATAACTTAACTCAATGAATAACAGCTGGTAGCACTACTACTTGGTCACTGTTTGTTTGTTTCATAGGAAATCTGTGAGAATCCTCGATTTATCATTGGTGGAGCCAATAGGACTGACATCTGCCAAGGAGACCTAGGTAACAAAGTCCCCTCCCAGACCTGCCAGCTGATCAGGGCGAGGAAGAGGGAAGTCCCTTTCCAGAGGGTAAAGGGAAGGGACTCTGGTTCTGTTTTTGATGCATTTCTGGAAGATTTTTATAGGTTATCCTTTAGGTTTGTTGCCCGGTGTGCTGGCTGGCAGTTGCTTTGTTTCCTGGCCCAGTTTTCATCAGCACTTTGCCTCACATCACAAGAAGTTCACCAGCCAAGCATGGTGGTGCACACCTGTAATCCCAGCACTTGGCAGGCTGAGGCAGGAGGATCACTGTGAGTGCAAGACCAGCCTGGGCTACATAGTGAGTTCCAGGTCAGTCTCAACTATACAGTGAGACCCTGTCTCAAAAAATCAAAAAAAAAAAAAAGAAAATCCTTTGTCCTGAAAGTATCATCTGTGTGACTCCAGACACACTCTGTGGTATGGTCACACAGTTCACAGACACAATGAAAACAAGGCACGAGGCACCCAAAGCTAATGAAAAGAGTGCAGCTTCTCTGGCTGTGGGAGGACAGGTTGAGGAGCAGGCACTGTCCAGGTTCCTGCCCCATGGATGGCGGATGCCCAGCCCCAGGCACGCTAGTCCTCCCTGACTGTCCCTCAAGTCAACTCAAGGTGCACGGGGATAGATTGGCTGCACTTGGCCACCCTACTCCCCTCTCAGGGCAGCAGCAAACCCATCCTCCTTAGAAGGCAGCTCCAAGGGCTGCAGATTTAGCTCAGTGGTTCTGCCACCAGCCTCGAAACAGCAAGGTCCCAAGTTCGATGCCCAGTACCAAAAAAAAGAAGGCAGCTCCAGGGTTGTGGGGTACAAGTGTGCCCTGGGGGCTCACACATGTGCCCTCCACAAAGGAAGTCCAGGGAAGAAGAAAGCGTCCCCTTCCCAGCCCATTGCCAGCAGTTCCTCAAGGTCCCCCATATACTGGTATCAGAGTATACCGATTGCCTGCCCAACTGGCCTTTCTCAGCTGCAAATCCAGTGAGCGGATGGATGGGTTTCTCTGTGGTCAGAAGGGAGTGCAAATTTACACCGTGAGGCACAGGGCAGGGGATCTCCTGAAGGGTTAGGGAGAACAGCCCAGTGTGATCACCTACTGCTCTTCTCAGTGTGAGTTTCTTCTGCAAAAGGAGGAACTGCCTCTGGCCTTTAGGGAAATGTCCAGGCTGAGGAGAGAGGGACCCAGTGGGCCCTGTTGTCAAGGATTCCTGTGAAATCTTCTTGCTGGGCTGACAACTCTGTGAAATCTGATCTGGAAGCAGGACAGACAGACGGGGCACCGAGAGAATCCCCGTCCCTCAGCACAGGAGCAGCTGGCTGGCATGAGGTCTGCACTTCTGGGATGGGCAGGCTCCCAAAACCTGGGCTGTGTGTTTGCCTGCAGGGGACTGCTGGTTTCTCGCAGCCATCGCCTGCCTGACCCTGAATGAGCGGCTGCTTTTCCGAGTTATCCCCCATGACCAGAGCTTCACCGAAAACTACGCAGGGATCTTCCACTTCCAGGTGAGTTATGGACCACAGACCACACCCACCACACCTCTCTTGGCCCTGACTTCCCAAGGCTCCAGGAAAGGCTCCACCCACCCACCCCAGCCGAAAAGGTGGGCAGCAACCCCCTTGATGCTGCCAGGCTGGGAGGAAGCAGTTTTTCCTCTCTGACCCCAGCCTCATACACCTTCCGCTCGGCCCTAGAAAGTCAAAAAGCTCCTGTTTGCCAGCCTGCAAGTCTGTTTTGCCCTCCAGCTGGCTGCTGTGTTACTGTCTGCAGCCTTCACAAGTAACTCCCTATGTACAACGTAGGGCCTCACGTAGGGCCTCTGACGTTACACTGTGGGTCACTGGTGCAGGAGCTGCAGCTCCTCTTCCTTCTTGCTGTGTAAAGCAGCTCTATACTAGGACTATCACTTACCTCTTGCAGGCCTTGGAAGAAAATTCTAGTTAATTTGAAGAGCAGGCTTCTGCTTTGGTGTGGAACTAAATCTTCTGGCATTAGTTTCATTAGAAACTTTCTGAGTCCAAATTGTGTTGAAATAGAGCCAAGTCCTGGTGCTGGGCCAGAACCAAAGTGGGAGTCAGGTAGTTTCTGGGATGCTGCTGTCATCACGAAATACTGAAACCAGGCCAGGGATATAGCTCAGAGGCACCACACTTGCCTTGCAGGCACAAGTTCCTGAGTTCAATTCCCAGTACCAAAAAAAAAGAAAAGAAAGAAAGAAACACTGAAACCAATAAGACACCCTCACGGACACAGGGGCTCTCAGTCCTTGCTGCACAGTAGAATCTTCCTGGACACAGAAAAATACTAATATGCAGATCCTGCTCCAAACCTCTGGGCAGGGAGATGAAAACCTCAAGTCCTAAAATATTCAGGGAACACCTACCTCAGTGAATTCTGAGCTGGACTCTGGAAGAGACTAAGCAGTAAGTAGGTAACTCACTCCCTGCCCTCAGGAAGCTCACAGTCCAGAGAGAGATAAAGTCACATGTCACATGTCCAGAAGAATGTGAGCCAGCACCAATATGCTAGACCTAGGAAACAGAACTGCTTCGGATGGATGCTCTCCCAGCAGAAAGTGGGAGGAAAGGCGAACTTCCTAGTGGTGACCTGAGGATGTGAAGCCACTTTCTTGTGTCCGTGCAGTTCTGGCGCTATGGAGACTGGGTGGATGTGGTCATCGATGACTGTCTGCCAACATACAACAACCAGCTGGTCTTCACCAAATCCAACCACCGCAATGAGTTCTGGAGTGCTCTGCTGGAGAAGGCTTATGCTAAGTAAGGCAGCACTGAGTGTGTGAGGCAGGCGGGAGGTGGGGGAAGAGGTTGCAGAATCCAGCAGGATGCGTGTGCGTGCAGATACTTTCGAGTGGTGTGAGAATTCAACTATGACCCAGAGTCAGTGGAGAGTAGATCAGGCAGCAACACCTCTAAGAACACTAAGTTTAAAAGGCAAAATGGAGAAGAATGGAGAAGCTGGGCATGGTGACACACAACTGTAATCCCATCTGTCAGGAGGCTGAGACAGGAGGGTTGCAAATTGAAAGCCAGGCTAGGCATAATGGTGAGAGCCATCCCAGCAGAAGGAAGGGAGGAAGAAAGGGCATCTTTAGCTTTGCCTTCCCACAGTGAGCTCTTTAACTGCCTTCCTGATGGTTTTGCAAGCCTTGGATCAGAGCATTGCATTTCTGGAGCTCAGATCCCATGATCTTGCTTGGCTCAAACTCATGAGCTTTATTGAGCATAAAGCCATGTTGTCCTCTCTCACCTGAGAAGCTCCATCCCAGCCGACAGCTCCCAGGAAGTGGGATAGCTGGGCTCCACTGTCAGGGCTTCTGGACCTCTGTGGCCTGGGGTGGGTCACTTGGCCTCCATCTTAGCTTTGCCATGGAGAAGAACAGGAATCACAGTAACCATCTACCTCCTATAATTCTTTTTTTGGTACCGTACCGGGGATCGAACTCGGGACCATGCCCTTGCCCACCTATCTCACTAGCTCACGTGACTGGGAACTGATGAGAGAACATCGCAGGACCTGAGCTAAGCTCTGGGGCCGTGATACCTGGGCATCTTTCCTGGAGTCCTGTGACCCCAGGTTCATCTTCATCCTTTCCCCAAGGCTCCACGGTTCCTATGAAGCCCTGAAAGGTGGGAACACCACAGAGGCCATGGAGGACTTCACCGGAGGGGTGACAGAGTTTTTCGAGATCAAGGATGCTCCCCGAGACATGTACAGGATCATGAGGAAAGCCATCGAGAGAGGCTCCCTCATGGGCTGCTCCATTGATGTAAGTTGGGGGTGGGGCCATGGCATGGGGGAGCCATTCTCTCAGTAACAGCAGCACAGTCTTCTGGGACAGGGTGAATATTTTGTTTTAAGAAAGAAGAACTGATTCTTACTTTGAAACATGGGACTTTTTCAAGAGAGTTGTCCCTGGGAATTTCCAGTGAAGTGATTGGACGAGGACATTCCAGCCTTGGAAGTTAGGTGGACGTGGGTCCCGGGCCTGTGTCAGAGGGGGCCTGTCTTGTCTGGGCTTCCTAGTCCAAGCGTGCACCCAAAAGCCAGCCACATACTTCGCTCCAGACTAGCCCAACATTTCCCTAAGAAAGCCGCCCAGTCATTGAGCTTTGGTCCCATGGGCTTTGCGCTGAGCAGAAGATCAGACTGCAGCCCGCGCTCAGAGCAACACAGCCCAGCAGAGGGAGACGGGAAGGAGACAGCAGGCCGTGGACGCTGGGCCACCACGGTGTCCAGAGACGCATCCTCTCCTCCACGTATGTCAGTGAGAGGAAGGGACCAAACTCATTCTTTTCCTTTTCTCTCCCCACATTCCCCATGTGCAGAAAGTAGAGGAAGGTTAGCTGAAAATGCCATGGATGAACATGTTCTCTCTCTCTTTTCTCCGTCTTCTCTCCATTCGTGTTCTATTAACTTTTCTTTTCCTTTTTTCTGCCCCTTCCCTTCTCTCTGTCTCCTTCCCTTCCCACCTTCCCACCTTCCCACCTTCGTTTGCTCTTTCTCCCTCTCCTGGGTTTCTCCCAACCTCCCTGTGGGGCCTCAGGATGGCACGAACATGACCTATGGAACCTCCCCGTCCGGTCTGAACATGGGGGAGTTGATAAAGCGGATGGTGAGGAACATGGATAACTCGCTGCTCAGGGACTCAGACCTCATCCCCCAAGGCTCAGATGACAGACCATCGCGGGTGTGTACCTCGACTGTCAGGACCTGCCCCTCGGTGTTGGCCGCCTCTCACAGCCGCGCACCCCTGCCACTTCCCTCCCCTGGTTCACTCTTCTGTTGCAGAAAGCAAATGCTTCCCTCAAAGAGAATCCAGTACTTTTAGAAGTCGTGCATTGCATTTCACTGAAGTCTGAGCCATACAGAAAAACACAGAGGAAGATTTAACCTATATTTTCCCCCTCTAAGATAATCACTCTTAACATTTGACATGTTGTACCCTTTCGGGACTTTTCCGAATCACACACTTAATATATATAT